CAGAGAATGCCAAGCGAACACTAAACGAAAATACGTTCCTGCTAGTAAGACAAAAGAGTGAAATGCCATCAGCCATCATGATTGGATACATAGAATGTGACAGTAGGAACCGTAAGGCAGTAGTTATAAGTAGCACATGGGAACCTCCTTCATTTTTATCAGAGATTGAATCCTACTCGGACGCAGTATAATACGTTCGGAAGAGGATTGCTAGCAATTTACTTGTCAATAAAGCACCTTCAACACTGGTAGGAGATACAATTTTCACTGTGTACACGGATCATTAACCTCTTACGAAAACATTGAGAGCCAAAGGAGATAACTATTTTGCGAGGGAAATCCAACGATTAGAATTTATTTCCCAATTTACGTCTGGTATAAGATATATTAAAAGCATTAAAAACGAAGTAGTGGATGAACCATCTAAAACAACAATAAACGCTTTCATTCAAGCTGTAGACAATCATCCCCGACCGTTGTTGCTACCTTGACGTGGTAGTCGGGCTTGCCTATCATGATGAAGCAATCGAGCTATACTGACTGGAACAACTGTTCCTCAAGGTCCCACCACGTCAGAAAGGTCGATTGAAGACTAAAAGTAACAAACCCAAGGTCCGAAGGTGAAGTCGTACTGCTGACTGTACAGAGGTGTGACAGCAGTAAGGTGTTTTCTTCAGACAACGAGCATGACAGCGATGCTGCCTTCCCACAAGGAGGGGTGGGGTTAGAAAAGGTCGACCCTAAAAATGCACACCTCGCCTTACCTCACGGATATCCGTCTCCAGCGGTAGGGTCTCAACAAGTACGGAGCTAACACAAAACTTACCCATAAAAAGGTCGTGTGTGACCGACCTCAAGCACTTGTCCCTTGGGCACTGTGGTCACGCTTCCAGGTCACTAAGGCCACCTCTAATCCGATTTCCTTTTCAGTTACCTCCAGAAGAACCCTTCCACAGTGTGGGCAACCGGGAAGTGATAACCGCCCTCATACCTCCAACAGCACTCAAGACCACTGTATTCATAATCAACCTTCCTCTTCAATTCCTATTATTCCTCCTACATCGACTTCAAACTCTAAACTTCTTTTTTCGGCTTCCCCCCTCAAGTGTCACCATAGCCAACGATTCTAGTGCTCAAAACACTGTTCCAGGTCTACTGAAACGTCGCTCCACACTACACATTGGACCCTTCAATGTACGCACCCTATGTCAAATCGGTCAGCAGGCTTCCTTGGCTAAAACCCTAGAATCTCGTACCATTGATGTATGCTGTGTCTCCGAAACACGCATACAGGATCCCAGTGTGGTCATTCACTTGACCTCACCTCGGCAAAACGGAGAGACAACGAGATACACCCTCCGTGTATCTGGTGATCCGATGGCCAGCTCTCGTGGACTGGCAGGAGTAGGGATAGCACTAAGCATGAGGGCGGAACAAACACTGCTAGAGTGGACCCCCGTCAACAGTCGTCTATGTGCTGTTCAGGAAAACGGCTCCGTAAGAACTCGGAAGGATAGGGACACACGTCGTTGCCTTTTTGTCGTTTCTGCCTACGCTCCCACCGACTGCAGCTCAGATGAAGTGAAAGATGAATTTTACAGAAAGCTATCTGAACTTCTTCAGAAAGCTAAACGTTCAGACATAGTACTCGTAGCAGGTGACTTTAATGCCCAGATAGGTAGTTTAAACTAAACAGAAAGGCATTTAGGTGGGTATTTTAGTATTCCGGCTCAGCGAACAGATAGTGGTGATCGTCTGCTGCAACTATGCTCAAACAATCGTTTATTTTTAGCAAACACAAATTTTAAGCATAAGGAGAGACATCGTCTAACATGGCGACCCCCTACACCAAACCAACGATGGACTCAAATAGACCATATTGCCATCAGTCATCGTTGGAGAGGGTCGGTAGAAGATTGTCGCTCATTCTGGAGTACCTGCTTGGACTCCGACCATGCCCTAATACGGGCACGCATCTGCTTGCGCCTCACTGGACGCAAAAAAGCCACATTAAAAAGACCCGTCAGAACTGAGTTGAGTAACGAGAAAATCAAAAGTAGGTTCCAGGAACAACTGAGGTCACAATTAGGTAGTTCTGAAGACGAGGCTGACCCAGGTGTTGCTTGGAAAGCTATACAAACAGCTGTGGAAACAGCAGTGACATCTATCAGTGATTTAAACCACAGGGTTACAAAGAACCAATGGATTTCCTCAAGGTCTATTGCACTGATGGATTCTCTTAAACTCATCCCATCAGGCTCTGAACACGATGAAGAGCGACAAAAAATCAGATCTAGGTTAAGCAAAAGTCTAAGGAACAACCGTGAGCAGTGTTGTCAACGAAAGCAAAAGAGATGGAAATGGCGGCGACTATAGGGAACACAAGACAGCCCTACAGACTAATAAAAGAAACTGGAATTAATAAATCAAGTGTAATTCAGACTATTTCGGAAAAAGACGACACCCTCATCCACTCTCAGTTCAGACGTTTAGAACGATGGACGGAATATTTCAGAGAACAGTTCAGCTGGCCTTCAGCTACTCTACAACTACCCTCCATTCCCAGACAGTGTGAAGGGAACATTGAAGTAGGTCCCCTAACTCTAGCAGAAGTTCAAAAGGCTATATTTAATCTGAAGCGAGGAATGGCAGCTAGTCCAGATGGACTGGCTCCAGAGGTCTTTAAGGATGGTGGTCCAATTTTAGCGATTAGGTTGACTAATATTTTAGCTAAGATCTGGGAGTTAGACGTTATCCCATCTAACTGGTCACAAACACTTATCGTCTCAATATATAAGAGAGGGTCAAAATCATCCTGTGACAACCATAGGGGGATTAGTTTAATTAATATAGTATCTAAAATATTAGCCTAGATAATTGTCGGTCGCCTAACTAAGACTCGTGAACTGCAAACACGAGAGTATCAAGCTGGCTTCAGACCTGGTCGTGGCTGCATCGACCACATATTCACCATTCGTCAGGTTCTAGAACACAGCCATACTTATCGGCGTCCGACAATGGTGGTCTTTCTTGACTTAAAAACAGCATTTGACTCGGTAGACCGAGAGATTCTGTGGCAGTGTCTGTCATTGAAACGCGTAACCCAGAAGTACATAAACCTTGTGAAGGCTCTTTACTTGAACACTACTAATCGAGTCAGAGCTCATGGCGAACTGTCATCTACTTTTGCAACCTCAAGTGGTGTCCGTCAAGGTTGTTCACTTTCCCCATTTTTGTTTAACTTCATCATAGACTTATTGATGGAAATAACATTCTCGTCTACTGAATTCTCGGGTATTGACCTCCTTCCAGGAGGTCCACTTATCGACTTAGAATACGCAGATGACATAGTCCTGTTCGGTGAAGACGCTGACAAAATGCAGTCTTCTGGTAGCACTAAGCAACAATGCCAGAATGTTTGGAATGCGCTTCTCTCCCTCTAAATCCAAGTTGTTGCTTCAGGACTGGTCTGCGTCAACACCTGAACTAAGGATAGGGAGTGAAGTAGTCGAACACGTCGACAACTTCACTTATCTTGGAAGTCTGATCAGCCCTAATGGGTTGGTATCGGACGAAATCTCAGCACGGATTCGAAAAGCTCGCTTGGCTTTTGCCAACTTGCGTCACCTTTGGCGAAGGCGAGATATCCGTCTATCAATAAAAGGACGAGTATACTGCGCGGCAGTCCGTTCTGTTCTACTTTACGGCAGCGAAACATGGCCATTAAGAGTAGAAGACACTCGTAAGCTACTAGTATTTGACCACAGATGCCTTAGAAATATTGCTCGCATCTGCAGGGACCACCAGGTAAGTAATCGTGAGGTTAGACGCAGGGTATTAGGGAACGATGGCAAATCAGTTGATGAGGTTATGAATCTTCATCGACTGAGATGGTTGAGCCACGTGTTACGTATGCCTGAACACCGATTACCACGACGTGCAATGCTATCCGGTATTGGAGATGGTTAGAAGAAAGTTAGGAACGGCCGAACCAAAACGTGGCATCAGTGCTAGAAGTCACTAACTTCTGGTCTGAGCCATGTTGGTAGATGCGGACTACTTGGTTGGGGTCCACGTGACTTTCGTAACCGATGGTTGGAGACTCTTGGTGACATGGCTCAGAATCGATCACAACGGTGTAGGTGTATACACTTCCTGTCTTCCCTTAAACTATGAGATTAAAACCACTTCATATCTTTCTTTCTACTAACTAATTCTTTCTTCCTGTACTATATCCTTATATGCAATCTTTCTCCTATATATTACCACCTTTGACCTAACCACTCCTATGAACCTGGTGTTCATCTTGCTGTGCTAATGCGGTATGGCAACCTGGACCGATGCATATATGTGCCTGGTCCTATGTTGTAGCTGACTGACTGTAGACAATCATCATAATATGGTGGCTTTGCAAAAGGCGGATGTTGAATTAAGCAGGCTCAAATCCGACAACACAATTCTGCTGTCATTCGAAGTCCAATTAGGTGGTGTAAAAGTATTATGTGACATGTCAATAGGTCAACTGCGACTGTTTATCCTGAAGCCATTACGACGAAAGATATTATATATTATGCATAATATATTCCATCCTGGAATAAAAGCCACGTTCAAACTAGTCAGCGAACGTTTCGTAAGACTAAACATGAATCCGTGTATTCGTAGTTGGATAAAAGCATCCATGAAGTATCTAAACGTCAAATCATATAGTCATACTAGTTCCGCAGTAGATTTTTTCCCTTAACCCGACACTAGGTTCAAACACATACACATCGATGTAGTGGGACTACTACCAACTATATTTTGACGTGCATCGATAGATTCACACGATGGCTGGTTGCGGAGCTATTGAAGGACTCCTCAACTGAAATTGAAGCCAAAACCCTAGTGAAGAGCTGGATTTCTTTCCATGGAGGAATTATCTGAAAAATAATCCACTACTATTCTTCAACAACACTTTTCTTTGTTCCATGAAAAAAGTGGACATAAAAACAAAGACTCACCGAAAAATTTCTTTGAAGTTAAACCAGGCATAGCAGGAAAATAACTGATATTGTTAGCGTTAAAAAATGCACATGATTCCTCTGTTGCTATTTCACGATTATTACAATATGCTTCATAAATAGGACCTGTGGTATTTTTATGACATTGTGCAGTACCGTTGACAGTGATAAAATCTTGACTTAATAATCGTCCACCCAATGCACAAACACTAAATCAATATCAAAAGGAGAAATATGCCTTAAAAACAAGAATAATTCTGACCAACAATAATCGTCGTTAAACATAAAAAAGACATTTGGATTTAAAAAAATTATCAGAAAAATACTTTTACTGGGTTTGCACCATCAATCTCTTATTCAACAATCCTATTAGGATGAATTATAGTCAAATCAGTTATCTAATTTATAAGTCGAACATTCAGTAGATATACAAAGCAATAGTGTATACGATTAAACTTTCTGATAAATAAAGGCGAAACTTCTAAGATAACTTCTAACACACAAGTAAAGCGAAAAACTATTTCATTCCAGTTATTTTTTTATTATAACTCCACACTGGTTTATATTATAGATAAAGACATAGACAAATCCTAGTTAGACAACTGTTTGAAACCAGGAAATACCAGACAACTATTTCATCCTAGTATGCAACTACTAAGGAGGGTGCGTTCATGATATCGCTGAAGGTAATGTATGGTGGTCTTACAATATTGCCAACTAATGAACGTTGAAAATGTTAACCACTAAACATTAGCTCAGTAGTTTAGAATCTAGGTGCTTGCAATAAGAATCGAGTTCCCTGGGTTTGATCTCATTTAAACTCGTTGCTACACACTGCAAAGGAGACTAGAATAAAACATTCGTCCAATACCTCCTAATTTCAGTGGTTGTCAGGTCAGTCTGTTATTTGGACATGTAAAATATTACGAAAATCAATATCAATCAAGTAGTGGTATAATGGATAGTTGTATAACAAATTCAAAAGCGTTTGTGCAAATATTGAAGAATGATCAGTAAAATAAATTCAAGATAGGGTAAATAAATTAGTTAAGATACAAAGGTATTAATTAATACATATATGAATTGGAATAAATGCCAGATTTTACGTTGTGTTTAATTGACTGACTGGAATAAATAAATATCAAATTGATAAATTACACTATAAGATATAAAAAAAATTGACAAAGTTTTAATAGGAATTCGAATATTGAATAACAGTTATATAATCATGTAGAGACTTTTACAGTCATGCAACAATTAAAAATAAGCATTATTAACAAGGAAAGCTATAATAATAAAAAGAAATTTTTTTGGCTTTGTTCATCACTTTTTTGAATATCTAAATAGGAATTTCTACATGACTTAATTTATTTCCTCATTACAAGTATCAATAACATGAACGAAAATATTATGTTGATTCAATAACATAATAAAATCTATGATAAACTAGCAACAGTTCACTGATTGATATTTTTCATTTCAAAATAATAATAAAAAAGAGGTTATAAATTGTAAAATTTCTATTACAAAATAATACAAATATCATTGAAATGAGTATTTCAACCAGCTTAAACTTTAAAATATAAAAAGAAGCACTTAAAATTAACATTGAATGACGGATGCTTGATGCATTACATTTATTTTTTTTCCCACTCAATTAACTTTTCCCATTCAACTATGAAATGTTTATTGGATACACGCCTATTCTTTTAACATGAGATTGAATGATGAAATTTCAGTAGCAAATAAATTTATCAAATATTTTGTTAAAAATTATGTTTTATTAAGTAAATATTATGAGTATTTATTAACAAAATGACGTAAATTTAAATTTTTTCGAAAAAAAACAGTTCTGTTGAAGAAAAAGAAAGAAAGGGAAAGAAAAACCTCGAATTAGTTGTTGTGATGAAAATGACAGTGATAAAAATTTAATCTGATATTTAGAAAAATCAAAGTAGATCACGTCAATCAATCAGTATAAACTAGATTTTCTTTCTCCCCTTCCCCCAATAAATTTATATCTAACAACAAAAGCTTAATGACCGGAAAAAATTTGTAACATCATAATTAAAATTATCTGTGACAGAGTTTAATTATTAGAAGGAAAAAAAACACTGGATTGTATGTTTGAAATTAGCTTTTAATTTTGGAAGATTAGTATATCTGAACTTTTTAAATAACGAAAGAAGCCTGTTGTATTCAGTTGAAGAGGGATTTGAATACGGGTTCACTAGGAGAAAATTTCTACTATTAATTCATTGTATGCACTGTGATTTAACAAACAAAATAGAAAATGTTTAGAAATTTCATGTCGAAGAAGGGTTGCGTAAGAATAGGGAAGTAAACAATTATCTTCTATAAATTTGATAACATTTTAAAAATTCGATAGTTATACAACCCCTTTTTGATGTATGAAATTTTCAAACACATAACCATATGACACTTCTATTTTCCAACAAACTACTTTGTTATACTACTATAATGAGTATGAATATAAAGCAAGGGTGAAGGATATCATCAAGAAGAACGTTTTCTTCCACTGAACTACATCTAATTGTACCGTAATAAATTAAATTTATTATAAGATGGACAGAACTCGTTCATTTTATGGTAACAAATTATCTATCTGTTAAGAGTTCATTCTATACTTGACATCCATATTTCATTCCTTTGTCTCTTGTAACTAATACAAGCTATATGACTATAAAATATAATAATAAATATTATATTATTTGCTGTCAAACCATAAAGAAACTTCTATTGAAGCACTTTTAGGGTTATTGTCGGTCCCAAACCCAGTTAAAGGTGAAAGGTTGGGCATGGGGCCATGTTATGGATGCAGAGGAATGTACCAATAATTATCATGTTAAGTCTAGTGATGTCCTTGGACGTTAAATGGACATTTCCTATTGGCCATTATTTATTTCATTCGTTAAATATTGTACAAATGTTGTCTTCTATTTTTATGGTATGATGTGGTCTGTTTGGTTGGTATATAAATAGAGTATGTCTGAAATACAATGATTCATATCTGAGGCTGTGACTTGTGTTCTGGACTCAACTGGTTGGGTTAGACAAGGGAGCGGGACCAATTAGAACTCTAGGTCGTTCGTACGTGTTATACGCGTCATTGATCCGACCGATAATGCACTGCTCTCTAATCTTTCAGTCAAGGACGCAACAATTGGTACAAGGTAGAAATCGAACCAAGTTTAAAGTCACAACAGGCCACTAACCCCATTCCGTAGAAAACCTTGATGAAAAAAATGCTAACCAGGATAAACAAATTATACCAATGAAACTTTGCCCTTCTAGTTGAAAGATCTTTATTCAGAAGAATTAGGACGACTCATGGTGAAAGCTGAAATTCTTCGAAGTCTTATGGCTGATACTCCTTTTAACGACTAGATCAAACATTAACATAGGTACATAAAATGTTTGGACACTGTTGGAGACTGAGAGGACCAGTCGAAAATGTGCAGAAATGAGGACATACAACGTGACGGTGCACAGAATCAGTGAAACGCATTAGACCCAAGCTGGACAGAAAAGATTACATTCAAGAGAGATGCTATTGTACTCTGGTCATAAAGAAGAGAATGCTCCGCACATTCAGAGAGTTGCGCTGATTCTAACCAAACATACCCGATGGTAATCTCATGGATCCAAGATAATCACAGTATTACTCAAAACAAAGAGGAAGGGGATCACAATGAATGTCATCTAATATTATGCGCCCACCAATCACAGCAACAACTATAATAAAGACCAACTTTATGAGAAACTGCGATCTATCGTAGCGAAGTGTTCAAGAAAAGACCTGACCATCCCTATATGAGATCTAGATGCCAAAGTCGGAATGGACAACACCAGATATGAAGATATCATAGAACGACATGGACTGACTGAGAGGAAGAAATAAGAATGCTGACAGATCCGCAGATTTACGTGCATTCAACCCAACAAATACATACGCAAAACTACATGGGTCTCACTGGTTCACACCACACAGAACCAGATCTGTCATATTTGCATCACTAAAAAATTCAGAAGGTCAATAGAAGACGCGAGAACCAGAGGAGGAACTGACATAACTTCAGATAACTGCCTGGTGGTTGTCAAGATGAAACTGAAGACAAAGAAGCAATCGACAAATAGGGAGACAGCATTACGAAAGATCAACACAGTCTCTTTTCGTCATACTGACAAACTCAACGAATTCAAGACAGCTCCCGACAACAAATCACAAGCCTTACAAGACCTACTCAAAGGAAAAGAAACTATTATGAAGGACAGTTGTACAGAGACCAAAAAAGCACTATCTTCAACATGTCAGGAGGTTCTGGGACGCAAGAAGCATCATCATAAGTAATGCGCTTCTATCGAAACCCTAGATAAGATTGAACAAAAGAAGAGCAAGAAGACAGCGATTAACAACAGTTGAACAAGAGCAGAGAAAGTTAAGGCACAAGCTGAATATACAGAAACAAACAATCAAGTGAAGAGAAGCATTAGAGCAGACAAGCAGAAACGCGTAGAAGACTTAGCAATGACAGCGGAAAAAGCTGCAGCAGAAGGATATATCAAACATCTATATGACACAACGAAGAAACTAACATGGAAATATAGTAAGACAAAGCAACCAGTCAACGACAAGGAACAAGTGCCGACAGACTGGAAAGAATATCTAATCAAATGACTAAAAAAGGAAATCTGAGCAAATGTGAGAACTACAGAGGCATCACACTATTATCAGTACTAGGAAATGTTAACAGCAGTGTCGCTGGACCGGATGAAATATTCTGCAGACGCTCAGCTTCAAAATCGACAGGCTAGAATCCACAACTATAGGTCCTGCACAAACTAAATTGTAGCACAACGGGTGATCATTGGACAATCAATTTAATGGAACTTGTCACTATACACCAACGTCCTTGATTATGAGAAAGAATTTAACAGTGTGGATAAAGAAAGCATATGGAACCTTCTTCGACACTACAGCAATAGTAGCTGAGAAGATCGTCAAACAATGGATCACACTGCAGACTCGTGCATGGAGGATTGCTGTCATACGCATTCCAAGTGGGGGCCAAAGTGGTACAAGGTTGCTCATTTTCTTTCTTTTTCTTCTGATAGTTAACTGGATTATGAAGACCTCCACATCTGAGGGAAAGCATGGAACACAATGGACAAATCGGATGCAACTAGACAACTTGAAATTCAGAGATGACGACCCTTTAATTCCATACACACCAACAAATACAGGTCAAGAAAACCAGTGTAGCACAAGCCTCTACAGAAGTTGGCGTCAACATATACAAGAGGAAGTGTAACATCTTCAAACACATCACAAAAACCACCAATACAATCACAATGGATGGAAAGACTCTGGAACAGCTGCAAAGTTTCACCTTCTTCCACAGCATCATCAATAAACAAGGAGGAACTGATGCAAATGTGAAGGCAACGATTGGCAAAGTAATAACACCATTCCTACACTTGAACAACATATTCAACTCAAAACAACTGTCAAAAAATATCAAAGTCACAATCCTCAATACCAACGTCAAGACAATTATAATGTGAGCAGCTGAAACGAGGACAAACACTACAAACATCTTCAAAAAACTATAAGTATTTGTAATCAATTGTCTGTGCAAAACGCTCGATGTCCCTTGACAGGAAATCGGGAAAAGACGTTGCACATGGATGGGACACAAATTGTGGAAATCACCAGATTGCATCACGAGCAAGTGATGACTCGGATTCCTGAGGGAAAACGGAAGACAGAAGACCGAGGGATACATTGTGTCGGCAATCGGAAGCAGACATCAGAAGAATGAGCAACAACTGGAAAGGATTTCTCAGGATATAGTTCGGTGGAGAATCCTGTTGGGCAGCTTATTCTCCTTCACGAGTGGTAACAGGCGTAAGTTAGTACGTAAAAGTACCTATAAAAATAGAAGCATCGTATAGCTACTTGATCACACCTTGGAAAGCATCAAAATTATATACACATGTTACTCAATACGATCGAAGACGGTGTTTTCAAGACTAGTGTCAACTATGTAACCATCAAATCAACGAACTATTATTATCCAATGGCTCACGTTTTTTCTTAGTAAAATTTTCACCCAAGTTACGCACTACGAATTGACTGAATCTGCGATAAATATATATATTTTAGGGGATCTGTAATCGAAGACGTTGAGAGTGAAGGTGTCATGTGTGAATAGAAACATATGGTAGTGTTTAGTACAATGTCAAGTCTATATCGATTATTCCAGCTTCAGGATATACAGAACTATTTTTTGATCTTAAGTTACATTTCGACCTTGTCAATCATCCGCTTATGACCTTGACTGTTTTTTATGTGAACGTATGCGTGTATCACTTACCCTATTTCATCAAATCCCTTTGGTTTATTTTCGTTTGGCTATAATTATTGAGTCACGCTTGATCAAATCAATTCGGCGCACTTGCGTTTTCCGGCTTGCTCCCCTTCATTTCTCCTACGGTATATCTGGATGAACCAGTGTATGAAATAGACGTATCAAAAGTTTATTATCGTACTCGAACTATTCTATTTCATTATTCACTAACGTGAATTAAGTCGATAATTATATACATGGATTGGCGGCACGTATATTTCGTTAGCACCACTGGACGATCAAACTGGGGTCAGATCAAGAGGTCACAAAGGTGTTATTTGAGCAAGAATGTATACCAGATGAAAATTAAATCAATCCAAACTAATATAATTAAATAGAAATTATATTTAGAGGTAAATGTCTGCATAAAAATACTTCAAAGATTATAAATACGTGCTTGAAGTGGTATACATTTGAGAAAAACTTAACTTACTAAGGACTTCTGGATGGATTCACTGTAAAAACTCCTAAATACACGCATAAAATTGATATCAAAACAGCAGCCAAACTGACAGCAGCAAATCGGCTAACAAAACGAATGCCCATGAACACACAACACATAACAGTAAACAAAAGTATTGTACCATAAACACGTGTATTGTTAAATAGCGCAGCATCTGATGTAATGTCTCCAAATAACGATGCCTGAGGAAATATATATTTCTAAAAGATATAAAAATATATATATTCTTCAAAAAACTAGATAGATATATTAAAGTCTACACCTTGACATGCTTAAAAACTACTGTACGTTTGTTATCTTCATAAAAACCAAACTAATCATAAAAATATAAACATTAATTAGGAGGCGAAACAACGACTTAGTAGACTAGGAATAATGAATAAGTATCACCGCACTAATAAATATAGTTACAAAACTGTATTAATCAAACAGATTATTAAACAAAACAAAGGAGGTTGAGGGAAATTCTTCTCACTAATGTCATTTACCTGAGCTGTACAATCGTGTTTATAGTTTATTTCGCATATAGTTGTCTACAATGAGATGGGAGCGTGTCTCACGATCTGACAAAGTAACCAAATACTATCAAGAGGAGAAGGATCTAACCCATTCTCCATTCCCTTTAACTAGACGAATGTGGACAGACAACATTATCGATGACGAATTGAACACAATCTGGAGAGTACAAGCGGAAAATAGTTCACATCTCACAGGTTTCTTGACGGTAACTTGAAATTAAAATATCGAGTTGAAAGTACCCTCAAAGTTCTGAAGAGAATTGCATTCATATACAATGAATTTAAACAGTATTTTGTGGCCCTATATCTGAGTTCAGTTAAATTGTATGCTGATTGTTATCGAACTATACATACCACCAATCCTCGTATATTTTTATCGACTGAAATCGCATTAGTGGAATGACAGAGTACGTCAAATACACTCATTGATCCGGACGGACAATCACAGAAACGAATTGAAGATAGTGTAGCAAAACAAAATGGAGTGACGCACAATTGAAAAGGCGAGTTAGATAATTCTATTTCGATCATGCGTCATTCAAATAAAAATATGTTGCAAACGAGTGATAAGTAGGGTGAGTAATTAACACACATACGACCATATGAAAACAGTCAGGATCAATAAGCAAATGAATGACAAGGTTAAAGTGTGGCTTGAGAAAAATGAATAAGTTGGTCTGTCAAGAAGCTAGAACAACCTACATTGACTTGACATAGTACCAGCCACCACAAGAACATAGCAGCAATATATTAAGAGCATACTCCAAAAAAATACAAGAGAGAAGAACTTTTATGCGGCGAGGCTCCGAATGTGTTTTTCAGTAGGTATCAAACTCTGATAGTGTGAAAGACATATAGACGTTGTGAGCCACCTCAATGTGCATTTATCAGTTCACCTGAGTTTATAAAATAGATTATAATGGCCACGTAATACTAGTCTCCAACGCTACTTTAGCTTGGAATGTGAGTCAACGCCTCAATCCTTGAAAACACAGTCAACTCACTTCTAGGTAGATCATTGAACAGGGTTAGCTGAAAAATCAAAATAACTCTCTCAAAGACGTTTTAGAACAAAAATCCATGTACGTTTAAGGCTAAAGTTATTCATCGATTCGAAATCGATCAAGGGACCCCTTTTTTGTTTTACAAATCGTTAGTGTCAGCTACTTTTTTATCCTTCGATTTTGCAAAGTATAAAATCATTTATATCTCTTTTATAAATAATTATTCCTCATTATTTAAGAATATAGCATAACTTATAGTCAATACTAGAAAACTAATGACTACTTTATGTAATCATGCAATACCTTGTTTTATTGTAGACTACTATTTTTAATACTTGAAAACCCTTTGACAATTGTTAACTGCTTTTTCAAATGACGCAACAGCAATTCATTGTATTATAGACTACCATATGTAAGATAACTATAAATATGATTTTACAGCTCACGTAAATAATATTACCAAAAAAACATGTTCTTCACTGAAACGTCTTCAGTATGTCTAGTTACTCTAAAACAGACTATCCTATAGATTCATGAAAATAGCTATTTACACAAATGATACAATTTCGATAATTATTAGATTCTGATGGTGCATTTTGGTAAACTAGAAGAAACTTGAGGAAATACAGAGATCTTCAGTTGTTTTATTTGCGTCCCAAGAAATCAAACTATTTCTTAACAAATTAGTTGTAGGAATAGAGAGTATGAGCCCAACGAAAAACAATAAGTTTAATACACAACATGAAAACTGAGAAGTCAATCACTTTGTAATTAAAACCACTATATATTTTACAAACCAATTGTAATACATTTGTTGTTGGTCAGATATGTTAATGAGTTCCGTAAAGAATAATAACTGTTGTATTGTCATGAAATACAAAAAGTACAAAGCAAATTACGAAGTATTCGCACCTTTAACAACTTATATTAACACAACAGTCTTGGTGTGAAACAATACGAACCTTACACTCATGGAAAAAACACTTTTATGGGAAGCTAAAACGATGAGAGCAGTGAATACAAACATTGCCTCATCCATTACGTTAATGACAGAGATTACGTGATATAATTGAATGGCTTCAGTAGCCTTGTTTACACTTCAACCATAATAAAAAAAATGATTTTTATTAATAGATAAGAATCAACGATTTCTAAATGCAACGTTATTATATTAAAAACTGAACTGAGAACACTAATACCAGGTTACAAACATAAAGTATTAAATAATACTTACAAGAAACACTTCCACAGCTCCTACTAGATACATGGCAGATGCTATTGTAGTACCAAGATAAAAAAGTATACCAACTGCTCCACCAAAAGCGGGACCAATCGAACGTGATATCATGAAATACGATCCACCAGCAGGAACTTTCCCATTTGTTGCAATTGCAGACATACTTAAAGCAGTGAGCATAGTCTACAAAATGAAGATAAAAAATTCACATATATATGACAATTTCATTTTAACATTTTAACACAAACAGTTTAAATGTTGGTATAAATATTGTAAACTACTAACTGTTTTATTTGCAAAAATATCCAAATAATTTTCTGTTAAATATAAACTAAATTAAAATAACAAATAATCTAGTTACTCTCATATAATTTTTTTTCCGTCTTCATCTAAACAAAACTCGGTTAATTTTAGAATAAACAATATGAAATATCAATCAGACAACAGTTTAAATAAAGAAAGGTTCATTTCAACTGGTGGATAAAATGTATATAATAGAGATCGATGAGCAAAGGTATCGTTATAGATTGATACATATAGATTTAGTCAGTCAGTCAGCTACAACATAGGACCAGGCACATATATGCATCGGTCCAAGTTGCCATACCACATTAACACAACAAGATGGACACTGGATTCATAAAAGTAGTCAATTCAGAGGTGGTAATATATAAAAGAAAGATTTCAATAAGGATATAGTACAGGAAGAAAGAATTAGTTCGTAGAAATTATCAGACTAAAAAAATGAAACAATTGTCTAATACAATACAAATTTTAATGATTCTCTTTGATTTAAACTAGTTCATCATATAAACAAACTTAATGTTATCAAGTTATTTTGAAAATTTAGGAAGATGATGATAGATTTAAGTAACATTGTATTATAACTACATGGTAGAATAAAACATAATAAAAAATATTTTAAACAGGTTGTTAGAAATGATAAATCATATTGACTTTATAATTAACCTTATCAACATAAACTTAAATTTCACTACATAATCTGTGATTTATTTTATAAGAGAACTTGAAACAAAATAAATCACTTCCAATTTTATGTATATCAATATATATCTCCAGTTATATATCGTATATATATCGTGTATATAGTTCTTATTAAAAAGTTGAATAAATAGCTAATGAAATGTTTTATAAATCTATAATAATATGATTTGTAACAAAATGATTCTCAGAATCAGTATTGAATTCATAATTTAACAAGATTTAACGATAATATATATAATACAAAGTGAATTCAGTATGATATGAATAGTTTGATATTAGATGATCAATGATTAAATGATCAAGTGAAAGATATTTATGGTTAATATAAACGGTTTGAACACGGTTGAAATTGCTGTTGATACTAAATGATCTATATTTGTTAGATATTTCAAATAACTATGTATTAATCCTTTATCTCCTTTATAAATGTGCTGAAGAATTAAAGGGATATGATAAAGCATTCAAATAACCATACACATTGTATTGAATTATCTAATAATCATTTGCCTAAGTGTCGAAGAGTCACTTCACTAAATTAAATCGGATATGAAATAGTTACTACCGTCAATTTTAGAAACAACTTTAACTTACAGCCTAAAAATATCTAAATATATATCACGAAATATTTATCATATACTAATAAAACTTTACATGTAACGAAGTGATAAATAATAAAACTGAGTAGTAAAAAAGTGGTACTCTACTAATCGCCTTATAAGATACCAATAACTGGAGACTACTGTTTCCGGCTCTCCGGGTATATTTTTAAATTATCAGTCAGTCATATATACAAAGATAACCTAGCTTAAATGTCCCATACACACCAACAAATACAGGTCAAGAAAACCAGTGTAGCACAAGCCTCTACAGAAGTTGGCGTCAACATATACAAGAGGAAGTGTAACATCTTCAAACACATCACAAAAACCACCAATACAATCACAATGGATGGAAAGACTCTGGAACAGCTGCAAAGTTTCACCTTCTTCCACAGCATCATCAATAAACAAGGAGGAACTGATGCAAATGTGAAGGCAACGATTGGCAAAGTAATAACACCATTCCTACACTTGAACAACATATTCAACTCAAAACAACTGTCAAAAAATATCAAAGTCACAATCCTCAATACCAACGTCAAGACAATTATAATGTGAGCAGCTGAAACGAGGACAAACACTACAAACATCTTCAAAAAACTATAAGTATTTGTAATCAATTGTCTGTGCAAAACGCTCGATGTCCCTTGACAGGAAATCGGGAAAAGACGTTGCACATGGATGGGACACAAATTGTGGAAATCACCAGATTGCATCACGAGCAAGTGATGACTCGGATTCCTGAGGGAAAACGGAAGACAGAAGACCGAGGGATACATTGTGTCGGCAATCGGAAGCAGACATCAGAGGAATGAGCAACAACTGGAAAGGATTTCTCACGATATAGTTCGGTGGGGAATCCCGGTGGGCAGCTTATTCTCCTTCACAAGTGGTAACAGGCGTAAGTAAGCATACATATATGACCATTAGAAAATAAATATCAATCAGCAATAGGAAAAAATACTATTAAAATGCAGAAATGCATCGTGCTTATCGATGAAAGAGAACAATTTGGTAAGACATAGTGAACTGATTTTCTCAAAACACTGTAAATTTGAAATTTTCCAATAGTGTAGTCATTTACTCTTATGTGTTTACATCCATTTCGTGATCTGCTCAATTTAAAGAACGAAAACTATAAAATATTCAGTCTACTTGACGTAAGATGTATCCATAAACAAATACACTTTTGGACTAGCAATCGAAATCCAATCAGATTAAATTACAAACATTTCACCGATTTATGTAAGGATTGAAGTTGAATACATGATTTGTAGGGCTTCAACCCAGTATTGTTTGAAACGAAACCAAGTGTGTCCGATTCGGTTTCTTATGAAGTCATAAATGTGTGCCGCTATACGGTCTTGAAATAATATGAAACAATCATTAAATTTTCTCTGGTTATCAGTAGTTCTCCTCTTAATTTCGGCCAGTCACAGAAACGTTTTTTGACTTACCATCATTATTTGATGGTTTTGAGTTACTTAAACAATGATACTTGAAGGAATAAAAGTGCCTTTTAAAGCTTTCAATTCACACTTTTATGTCAGTTGTTTTGCAAACGATCTTCGAATTCACGATCAAATAATCAATAAACTTAGAATAATTATTATTTAGGTAAACAGACGTTAAAGCAATAAATGTAGGTTGAGATTTGGATTAATCATAAATCTAAACCATTGGTTTCTCTGCGTTTTTATTCTCTGTCAACTATGCATATTTAGTTTATAAGTCAATAACAGACATTCGTACGATATGGATTAAGCACTTAATTAATAAGACAACACAATGATCAATTTAATAAACATTTTTAGTTCAATAATAGTAATATTGGAAAAAATTCAATACTAAAATCCCCAATACAGATAGATAGGTCAACTGGAAGGCCGCTCTATAGAAAACATGTAAGTAGGTTTTAGAATACTTTTAAATTTACCTTAATGGAACAAATATAACATATGCGTAGCATTATTAAATCGTATTAAAAACGACAGTCAAAACTAATTACTATGATAACTTTACAAAAATCTTATACATTACCAAGTATACTACTGTATTATATTAGTAGTACAAAACCATTTATGTCAATCATAGACTTAAATGATTTCATCTGCGTGACTCCATAATTGTGAGATCTTTCGTCAAGAGATGGGTATTCAGAATAAAATCAAATGTATATCCTTGGCCATAGAAAAATGAAATTTTTTCATGCATGAGTTGTGTAAAAACAATATATGCACTTATCAGTAATCAGAAGCTACTTTCATCATAAGAATGAAGAACTAAGAAGCATTTTAACAATGAAATGCAACCAACCATTAGTATATGGTGACTTTTTCTAAGAAGTGAATCACCATTTACCATGCTGGTTTCAATTAAAATAAACTTACAAACTTGAATTAGCTTGTTGAAGTAGAATTTGGAAGTCCATACAGAGAAAAAGTCATATTCACTTCCCTGTTTTCTTGAAATTTAAAGTTAATTAATCTAAGGGTTTGTTGTGTCTACTGTAATATACAATATCATTTCATTCATGTTTCCTTTTAGTTTTAAATTTTCTAGTTTGAAAACGATACTCCTGAATAAAAAGAATAATAATATTCGAATCTTACAAACTACTCAATACAATCTGCATTTTACCTATTATATCAATATGTATGAGAATTTGTTGATTTTTCTAAAAATGATAAATTATCCCTTGAATCCACACAAAGTAAAGAAGTGACTCTTCACAATGATAATCCCGTGACATCATTATTTGAATTGTTTGTGATTCTGTCAGTCTTTCTTAATATTCACTCTTCAACTCTGGATTTTTATCAGGAAAAAATGTGAAAAGATGTGTGTGTGTTGGAGAGAGGGGCAAACAAGAAAAAACCTCAATTTTTGAAATATTCTATGGACATTATATAAACTATAAAAAATCAGTATGAAGATCATATGACTGGAAAAAACAACTAATAATATTATGAAATAAGTGATGAGTTAATGTGAATAATTTATCCAGTTCACTTTTTTTTAAAAAACAAATTCAATAATTATCTCAATAAGGGAAAAATATTGTCAAGATCAAAACATTGCCCTGGGAACAATAATGCAATTAAGTAAATTTATGTGATTTATTTAGATTATGATAATTACTCGAAAAGATCATCAAAGCAAATCTACAAACCCAGAATAAACCAAAGTCAAATATTTCATTATTTAAAAGGATTATTTTCAGTGGTTTACAATAATCTCCAAAACACCATGTTGTGTATGTTAATCAAAAAAAAATTTCGAGTTCTACCTACACATTTATAAAGTACTAAAAGAATTTAAAAATATTCTGTAATGTCTAAGACGATTAATTCCTCTGATTACTTTCATTATCAGTAATATTATTTGAGTTAATTCATAACCCAAATTTGGGTTACTTAATATAGTTGAAATAATTAGGGACTTTAATAGGTAAAAAGCAAATTATATACATATAGAGAAATCACGACACTCGGTCAAATGGTGTATTTCGTTGTAAGTAGTATGTGAACTGACTTTAATTGATTATAATTGTATGATGGATTTTCAGTAGACAAGGTT